CCATACTTAACCAATTGTGTTAAGTTGTCTGGCAACTCAAAGTCATCCAATGTCACACCCTTCTGATCAATGCCTGATCCTTCAGAAACAACTTCATCCACATGCTGTGCATCTTCACCTTCATTTAGCTGTTTCTCAATGACTTGTTCTGTCTGAGCTGCTACAGTCACTCCGTGAATTGGGGACTGTGCATTGATATCTTCAATATCTGTTACATAAAACATAACTTACTTAATAGAAATGTAAAATTGTATAAACAACAATTATTTATTCTGAATGACAGTATGATATTATACCTGCTTGTTCTACCTCAGCTGCTTCTTGAAATTCTGGATATAAGTCAACATGTGCTGGAACATGTTCTGGACAAACTGCAGCTTCAATTTATAATTAAAAAAATGTAAATAATACTAGATAATGCTGCCTTGAAAGTTGTAGATATAGGTAGGATGTTGTAGATAAAATGTGAATAATAAAACTATGCTCTATAAAGTTTTATACTAAGTGTATATATTTGTAGGTATTTTGTAGATACCTGTGTTGCTTGTGCTTGCATGCACTTGATCACCAATATTGAACTGAAATTGCTGGTTGTTCACTCCTTGTTGTTGGTCATTGTTTTTGGTTGAACTACCAGCAAACTAAAGATTTTATGTTAGTTTGAGTATATTGTTTCATATGTCATAATTTATTTTGATATATAAATATATGTCAACTCTTACCTTTGCCTCATCCACATCATATCTCCTGTTTATTAATTTCAAAACACACTTCACAGAATCATCTATAAACCCTCGAAGGTCATGGAGTTCCTTAAATACAGCCTTCCTAAAATCCTCTAACTTTCCACCAACCTACAAGTTAAAAATACAGTTAGTTGGTAATTTTATTCAAATAAATTACAAATTGATGTTCTGAACGTTAATACCACACAAGAAGGGGGGGTGATTTGTGTGGTACCCAATTTTCGCTCTAGAAGAACCTGGTTCTTCTAGGTATACTTTCTACTACTGCTTGCGGAATTAAAGGTACATAAAATAAAGAACACAGAGATTTTTACGTGGAAAACACCTGGCTCAAAAGGTGAAAAAACCACGACCTACTACTCAGTAGGATTTTCCCAAACTTCCACTAAAATCACTGAGCCAAAACAACATTTAAAAACTCTTTGTAAACCTAAGGATTAACTCTAATCCCGTTGTGGCAACC